ATCTTTTGAAATATCAAATCAATTCAGCTAAACTTGAGTATGGAAATATGAGCATAATGCCACTTTAAATAAAATGTGTAAAAGGCCAATAATTTATCCATGTAACAATGCGTAAGTTGTCATATTATCTTTATTCATCATATGAAAATATGCAATAGTTTTTGCAATTAAATGAGATTAGTTTACATAAGTTTTGCAAAGTGTATCATCATGAAATAAAAAAAACCCTAAACATTAACAAGAAGCCAACTATTTCCTAGTAGTCACTAGGAACGAAGTGAAGCCAAATACATTTTTTCAAGATAGCATGCAATATAATTGTATTGTTACTGACACCTAAATCAAACAGGATATTAAAAGATGATTCGTGATTCAGGTGAACAAATGATGTGATGAAGCTGCTGCTGAGCGGAATAAACTTATAGTCAGGAGCCTAGTTTAAATCAAGGTATATTTCTGTTACAAAATTTAAAAAAAGATTGATTGCAGTACCATGACTAAAATGATAATGGTATTATGTATATTGACTAAATTATTATTGTTTAAAATATTTTGTATAGTTAAGGTCATTTACATTTGAAACATAAATTACAATTCATCTACATAATTTGTTTCATTTAATCCCTTTCAAGTAGCGATTAAAATTCCGATTGTAAAGGATCCCAATACACATTTTATCCAGCCAATTTTTTATTTATATTTTGTTCCCAAATCACGTCTAAAATAATAAGGCCTCCCTCATCAAATGAAGCTGCAAAGGTCGCAATATGACTCCTATAATGTTGGTGCGACGTGCACCTCAACAAAAGAAAGAACAAAAAAAAAAAAACATTATATCATAGAAGAATAATACTCCACCATCGTTATCATAAACTTCCTGAAATCAGATGATCCAACTTGGTTACTGTGATTATGTTTGTAATATAAAGCCATTGCGTAGGTCTGAGTATATTAAATCTTAGAAAATTAAAGAAATAATGAAAAAGTGTTAAATAGACATTTCCTTTCGAATTCTCATGTAATATTTAAGTTTAATAATGTCAGAGTATTTTAGGAAAAAAAGACACAACCTTTTGTTCTAAAATTTACTTTCAGTTGTTACTTGTTCCTTACTCTATTATTATTCTTAACATTATAGATCTTGATTTTGACTTTCAAAAGTCAAATTTATAATCGAGTGTGTTTTTGGATATGATTTTATGAATGTCAAAATGGATTGATACCCACTGCAAATATATTATTAAGGCGGACAATGATTTAAACCATTTTAAGTCATAGATGTCATATCAGCATTCTGCAGCTTCTCACTTATAGATGTAAAGTTTGTTTCGCTGAAACAAACACACTATCATTTATTGCATTTTACATTAAAATCCAGTAATCTTTAGAAATGAACTGTTAATGGAAGTATTTTAAAATGTCAATATAAATAAGTGATTGCTGATTCGGCAGTTGATAACTATTATAATAACATGAAGATTTTAGTTTGTAATAACGTTTTCTTGTCATGACAGGTAGTTAAAGAATGCATTAGTGCAAACGGGTATTTTATTGTGATAATAAATGTTTACGTTTGTCATTGGAATATTATACAAAAGAATGCACGTAAAAGAAAACTGTAACTATTCATTAAGTGTATTTGCGAACTACTACTTAAATACGCGTTTTGTACGAATTTGATGAATCGAAATGGATAGCATACTGTTTTAGATTGTATATAGATAAAAAGCATACCAAAATACTCAATAATCTACATGTCCTACATGTGTTTAATAATGTTTTGATAATGGACTAGATGATAAAAAATGAAGCAATAACACTGAACATGCGGCAATACTAACAAAGGAGTTTTTCATACAAAATACTAATTCACTTTAATTATACAATTTGCCAAAATAACAAATTTTGCAAACTGTAATTTGTGTATAAGTCAAATAAGTATTTTTTTGAAAACTGAAACATGATACCAAAATGTAAAATAAAAGGTTTTTGAGAAACAAAAAATGATAGCAATTCTGAAGTATAATGGACCTTTCATTTATGTCATACAAGTACATATATTGCCGCTGTATCTGAATACTCTGCTCATAATTTTCAGTGTAAGTGCAACTACTGAAAAACCTAATGCAAATAACAATAGTTACACTTTAACAAATTAAAGAAATTGTTGACAAAACATTTTAAGATGTCAGTATTAAAATCTCATTTATATCTTGACATTTTACAACGGTAATCACTTGTACGTTTAAGCTCATTAAAGCATGCTATTGTCACAATATCGTGTTAAAATGTGATACATCTATTACATCACGCAAACATTGTTTTCTTCAGGATAAAAGTTATTGCCTAATCATGACTTGCGCTGTCTCTTCGGAACGTTAGGTTAAAAAAGATAGAATCTTAATGTGAATTGTGAGGGTACTTGCAAACAGACTATAGTTTTGAAAGTTTTATGGCAGTTACGCATCTAACTATCCATAACAATTTGTTACTATATTATTATTTGATATCTGAACATTTTGTTCGAATCTTCGTTCAGGAATGTGACATGCAAGATAACCTGTCGCAATTATCAAATCTGTATAAAATATTAACTTAAGAATTTTACTTACAGTGATAAGGTTCATCTGCATGGTGTGAGCAATACTAATGATTAGACAGAATGTTTCGATTTATGATTAAAAGACCACCTCAGAATAAAGACCACCCTGTGAATATAGGGTTAACGCACGTTTTTTTGTGTTATAACGTCTGCAGAGTCCCTGGGAACGGTTGGTGCCCTAGCCCGTTAGGGCGAGGGCTCCAACAGTTCCGAGGGACTCTGCAGACTTTATTACACGAAATAAACGTGTGTTGACGCTATTATAGCATAAAATTTTAAAACAGATTCATGATGTATATTAAATACAAAACAAAAACATTAAATCCTTGTGTTTGGACGGTATTTATCCAATTCTACATGTTTAACGTATGCGTTTTATTTTTCCGGGACCAACGACTTGGGAAATACAATGCTCAGAACCGAACGAAATATCGAATTTTTATTGATTTAACAAAGCTTAACATTGGAGATTTATCATTTCAAGAAAAGAACATTAAATTACTGTACCCAAGACATTACATGACCCTCAGAAATTCCTAGATGGATTTCAAATTCACCGTAGAAAAAAGATCAGTGAGTGACATCAAAATCGTTTTTTGTTTCAACTTCAAGCACTTAAGTTTATAAAAAAAAATCAGACACTAAACATTATTCTCTCAAAAAAATATCAAGAGCATTTTTCAATATAAGCATCAGTAAAACAACATTTTCTCATGTTCATTTTGAGCTATCATGTTTTGTAAGTTAATCTGAGGGTAAAACTGAATGACAGAAATTTGTTTACATTGACAACTGTCCGTTTATTAGAAAGGGCGACAACCACGATTAGCGGCGATGTCTGTACGCCGTATTTCCGGCATAGTTACTTGAAAGCTGCTCGCTGTCATGCGATTGAGGCCCTCGAATCAATAATTTCAAAATATTAAGAGCGCATGACTCTTTGGCAAACAGGCAAAATCGTCATTTTTTTGTTTGTTTAAGGGGCCCTGTATGTATTTAGCATAGGTAAAACAAGAGCGCGAGACTATGTTAACACATGGTTTGGGTCCCTTTATAACATGGACAAAAGAGGGAAAAATAGCCGATTTTATGCTGTAATAAAGTAAAATGCATAGATAAAATACAACAGAGAAATATCAGAATAAAAACCACTCGTCTATAAAGGTCTTGTGTGGCCGTCTTTCGATGGCCATGTTTGACTGTACGTCTTTATGTGAATTAATTTATGAACTAATTCAAATCAATTGTAACAATGGAAAAAAATGTGCGTGTTTATATTCTTTATATTATTTTCTTTTATTAAGGCAGTTATTTTTATATTGTTGACGCAATCTAATTGAATCAGCTTTAAGAAACGCCCCGCATTTAGATCTGACCATAATAAATACGAAGTCTTTTATCAGCCAATCATCGGCGAGCTCTCATATATTTGAAAGCAATTCTGTTTCTAGAAAACCAATAAAGAGAAAGTAATCATCACGATTTCAAGATTTTACGCTAGAACAAACTTGGCGTCGATCATGAACATGAACATAATTATCTGTTGTTATTAAGTTTGATATAGAACAACTTTATGTGTTCCCTAGTTTGATAAAAGTAAATATTAAGAGACTGAAAGAATCACTATTACACCTGTGAAAACTCATTCAAAGTTTGTGGGCTATGAAATTTTCATTCTTTTTATTATAAGCCTAATGACCGTTTTTTAACTCCAGACCTGTTGATCACAATGTGAACACTCCACCAACTCGCTAAAGGGTAAAACTAATAGCAAGACTTTTGGAAAGAGCCTACATCTTTAACCATTACACTTTCAACAACATACTTCAAATTTTTTAATGCCTATTCGTAACGGACGATTTACATAGCTAAAATAAGCAAGTTCGGCAAATCCTTATCTGAATGAAGGCGAAACAAATAAGGTGGATATCAGATCAACATTTAAGAAATAAGTATATCTGAACTTTAGTCAGATTGATTGTTGACGATTAATGGTAATTATTTGAAAATAGATATTTAAGAAATAACAAAGGAATTTTAAAGCTGTAAAAATTGGGACTACTCCGTGGACGAGTTGTTAAGGTAGTTGACTGCAAACTATTTGTTTTTTACAGCTGTCAGTTCTAATCCCGACTTTGGATTATTTCATGTGAGGAAGCTATCCGCCGGTGGTACTACTCAGGTGCTCGTTCGTGCCTGAAATAATGCACGGAAGGGCACTTGAGGTCTTCTTCGACCAGTAAAGCTGGAATGTCTTTAATGACCTATAATGTTATAAGAGTTATCCTTGAAATACATTTATATGTAAATATAGTATTTCTCAAATACTTAAACATTTTTTTTGTATGAATTATACTAAATTTATACAAACTTAATTGTTTGTTAACATATATTTCAGATGGCTCTACGCTGCTCAAGTACAAAAAGAGCATTGGACAGATCTGAGATAATTAAATGTTCGATTCACATGAGCTGAAAGATACACAACATTCTGTTGACAAACACAACGATCCTAAATTAATAACGAGGAAACAATTCCCTTGACATACGACAAATTACTGGATGATGTTTTGAAACCGGTAACATTTTTTGAAAGCTGATGACAGCCAGGCATGCAGTAACACGATATACGACATGTAGCATTGAATAAATTGTTGAGCTATAAATCATGAAGGTCATTGATATGTCATCTAGTGCATTGCCCGTATGACAGGAAATTGGAAGAGGGCAATACATATTTGTGAACGGTAGTTAAGTTCAAATATAAAACAAAAAAGGGTATTTTATTAAATAATGTGTTAAATTGTTAATGATAGATATTTGACGAACTTGTCTAAGGAAAACATTATGGGAAAAGAAAATAGAAAATGATTATTAAGGCGATGACTAGCAAAACATAATTTCAAAGACAGTGGTGATCAGTTTTAATAAGTTAATACTGAACCGTTTGCTGAATATGTTTGTAATAACAGTTTAAACCGTCTTCTGTCACCATTTTCTTTGAAAACATCGAATCTGATGCTTGCAGGTGAGTCACTGGAGAACACATTTTGTGGGTATTTGGATACCACTTATATCATTCAAATAAATTATGTTAAAAACAAAATTATAAAGAAATATAAAATATCTTCTATAATTTCTGAATTTTACACCGTAATATTTCGATTTAGATTTGCTTAAAATACACAAAATACTGTAAAATGCATTTTTTCATTTTGACAAAATTGTTTAACATTTTTATAAGTCAATATTAAAACATCATTTACTACATGTTCTACGTCAGTGTACGTGTCTTTGAAATTTGTAAATTATTTGCACATTAAAATTTATTAAAACATTTTACTATCACAATATCTTGGCAAACGATATTAATGTTCTTCGCAAATTTTCTTAATAACTTACTTTTACCTTTCTCTTCCAAATAGATGATCGTACATGTAAATATGAAATTGAAATGAAAAGTCTTATTGGATCATTTCAGTGCATTAATTAATTTGCGTTTTTCCATCCTTGCAAAAGCCTATTTTAATAATTAAAGAAAATATTACGTACAAAATAAAGCACCGTTTAAGTGTTCTCTTTTAAATGAAACAAGAAATTTCAACTATGTACTGATCAATCATGTATTGAAACAATTATTAAACAGAAATTACAGTTTGCTAAAATCAAGTGCAGTATATATTTTGGAAACTGTGTTAACATGTAATATGTCTTATAAAGCTTTTTTTTCTGATTAATATGCCAAGTTATATACAAAAACAGTTTTTCACGGCGTCAAAATGTCTGTCAATAATCAGATCCATCATGCCTTAGTCCCATTAAATTATGAAGAACTAACTTTTTTAATTTAGCACAGCCATGCACGTCTTAATCAGATTTGCTTTATAGGCATAATTAGTGTAAATATGAAGAGAATTGTGCGTGTCCCTATTCGTTATTCTAAACAAAGTCTTCCTACGGCAGTTCTTTATGCAATTATTTAGATATCAGTATTGTCGAAGCAAGTCCTCAACATTGTATTGAACGAGTTTGGGTCAATATGTAATACAATATGAAGTATATTTTAATGATTTAGCGATAATTTTTGTATTTATGCAAACTATGCTTTGCTTCCGAGCATCTGCTTTCAAATGGCCCAACAGTCATGTATGTTTTTGCATATCAGACAGGATTATCTACCGTTTACACCGGTGCTAGAAAACTCTATCGTACCCCAATGTAAGACAAGTCATGTGCTTTAAAATAAAATGACGTCAGTGCCTCGCGAATTTTGTGAATGAATTGGATTCTTAGGATGACGTCATTTTACTGTAACAGTTATGAATGAAGTTGTAAGTTCATAGGCTTCTATAAAAAAAAGTGCGTAATGATAATGTTATCATAATTTCTTATAATTAAGATGTTTTGGATGGTAACAGTGAACCATTTGAAAGTATAAACTGTCTTTTTCAAAACAAATGTAAAATATTTTTAACACTTGAAAAATTAAATGACTTGAGTGAATATATGTATTTTTATAGTTTCTCTTTAATCGCGAGTTATATTACGTAATTCTTTTTGTTTTGTACTAAGCAACAATTCATAAATTATCATTGTCCTCTTCCTATACATTGTAGTTTTGGATATGCACTCGATGACATCAGTCACGACCTTCTAGATTTATGTCTCAATTTTTTATTCAATATTTCATGCCTTATATTGTGTTAATTCATGTCTGGCTTTTATACATCAGCTTTTATCAAAAGTTACCGGTTTCAAAACATTATCCAGTTATTTATCGTATGTCAAGGGAATTGTTTCTTCGTTATTAATTTAGGATCATTTTGTCAACTGTATTCTTTGTCTTTCAGTTCATGTTTTATGAATGTTCAAAGTGATTAAATCAGTCCGACGCTACTCTAAAACTTAAGTGGGAAAACATCTTAAATACACGTTCTTTAATTTTTAGCAAGAAAATGAAAGCGTGTAAACGAGAAATTTTGACAAGACACAACGCGATAACATTTTAATTATTGTTATGTCATTTAACCTTAGATAATTATACAATAATCATAATTATTATTGACTGATTACTTGATACTATTTAACGTTCAATCACGCAAAGACTTATTATTATTTTGGAATAACATGAAATTGAAATAATTAAGATGTTTTAATTTCAGTTGTGGGAATTCGGCTAATGAAACCTATTGCTCCTACAAAATTCCATAAAAAAAAATTATAGTAGTGTAAGTTTTAAAGGAGAAAAAAAATTAAAGTGTAAACATTAAGAAACACGTAAAGTTAATTATTATCTTAAATTATATTTTAAAGGAGCAAATAAGCAACTATCTGACACTAAACAGTGTAAACGTTAACATAATCACAAATTGTCCTTATCACTTTAGCTAAACATTCAGACACATTGTATTGTACAATGTGAAGTTTATAAACACCAAAGATTGCCTTTGAAAGGCCCAAGATAGTTATCAATATGTGTTTATCATATTTTCCTATTTCATATACTTATTTAATACTAAAACAGAAATTACACGTTTCTAAAATCAAGTGCAATGTATTCTTGGGAAACTGTTTTAACATGTTATATGTCTTAGACAAGCCTTTTTTCTGATTTATACGCCAAGTTATATCTGATTAAACACTCACAGTGAGTCCATGCATTTAATAGTTAATAGCCATGGTTCCAGGGTTAATTTTCTCTTAAAAGACATACGAGGGGTTATCCAAAAATTCGTGGACTTTTTAAATATCTCTTGAACGTCAACGTGTATTGTAATGAAAATTTACCAGCATACATTGTAGAATATTTTCAACACATTTTGAAATGAACAGTTAATTGTGTCAATTACATTATATGCAAAATAGTACTATCATTAAGACCATTCATTTTCCATACAGTAATCTACTGACTAAATGGTCAACAGTAACACTGATGTGGGGTCTAATCAAGCTTTGTTCTCGTCTCACGGGTAATTGCTGTTGTTGGGATTAACAGAGCAATTTTTGTTTTTCAATCTGCTTTGCTTAATATGTCCAATGTCAAACTATTGCGTAATGGTATATACCAAAATGAACAAGACATTTTCATGATGCATGTATCATCATTTATATCAATGTGTAACACAATTTTGCAAACCCTGTAGTGCAAACTGCAAAATAAGTACGCAAAGGAACACAAAGCGACACGTAGCTAGCATAACCGAGTTGGCGGATTTTGTTAACTAGCAAAGCCAGTAAAGAAAATGTACCCTCTGAGTTTAATATATTTTCTTTAACAAACTCACACAATATTTATCTGTCATGATTTTCCTTAATGTAGGGTTAAATATAAACGTTTCCTATATCAATCGTTTGTCCCTGTAATTTAAGATACATTATAGATAAATTCAGTACTGGTAGCATTTGGAGAAACAGTCATGGCATGATCGAAGTTCCAATTCACAGCCTATTAATTATCTACAATTGCAATAATGCCCTTCAAGGGTAACCACAATATAGAACAATAACCTTAATTCGACTTTGTTTAGTAAAATATATAGGAATGCGCACAATTATCTTTACTTTAAACGGACTCCTATGAGGTCCAAAAGCCTAAAAACATAAAATTTGAATTCTGACATAAATCAGCTGTGTCACTTAAAAACAGAAGGATATGGAAAAAACTTGAGAAGTAAAATGAAAATCGTATGTTTGTGCTTATCAAAAAGCGTGCAACATTTTTTTTTAGAATTGGAATAATTATTTTGGAAAAACGGAGTAAGCGAAAGATCTGTAATTTTGCAAACAAAATATTAGTCTAGACCTACTTCAAACAAAGCATTTATATCAAAAAGTTACCATTTAACTTCCCTACACAGAAATTATATAATTATAAAAGTCATTTGCACCCAAAAACCGATTCATCTCATTATTCTCTGTAAAAATCTTAACTTCTGATCAAGTGTAGATAGGATATGAGGAGCTAAAGAACAGGTCGACTTGCATGTCTTATTTGTAAACATTTGTAACATTTCTAAATAATGCCATGCACTTATACAACGTTTTTCAAGTTGTTGGCAAAAAAAGAAATATGTATTTACAACAAAAGCCATTACTTCAGATCATGATTTAATATTTGGTGTTTAAAGTATGCTGTCTCGCATGTCCTATGCTCGATCACAAGGCTACTACATTACACTCGTTTTCTGTTTTGTCTTGTGAATAATGATATATATCAATATTTGCTTACAGTAATCAAATTTGCAAAAGTGCTTTCAAATCTCACAATATTACTGTTAAATTTTAGGTTCTAATTTCAAGACTTAACGTTCCAGAGAGACCGCGCAAATTATCATTTTAGACACAACTTGTAATACTGAAGAACACAATTTTTGCGTGATGTAATAAATATATATCAAATATTAACACAATATTGTGAATCAAAAACGTTTTAATGAGCTTTAACGTACACGTGATTTCAGTTGTCTAATGTCAAGT